CTGCTTAATACAATAGGATATTGGCTATGTAATAGTATACATGTGATTATATGTTATGAAAGTGGAAAATAAAAAAGTACATTTTAAAAAAAAGAGAAAGGGACAGGCACCTGTAATTCGGCAGCCGTACAGCTCCAGTCGAAGGGCGATTCCACTGTGCCAAACCTGGGGACGGATTCGCACAAACCGAGTCAGCACTGGAGCATGGATTTTGTTCAGAACCACTTCAGAAGCATCCGTGTTGGCCTGAAATACCTGAGAAAGAGACATTCTCAATATTACACTTGCTTCACTGCGTAAAACTGAGCAAAATAGAAAGGAACAGATAGGAAATGTGAGCAATTGATTAGGTAATAATACAAAGTAGTGGAATAATTACTTTTCCATTTGAATTCTTTGCCATGGCTAAGAATAATTTTCAACTCGGCACCACGTTTAGAAAAAAGCATTTTTCCTCCTGTGCGATTGGCAGTGCTAAGCTGGATGGATGGAACTCCATTCAGTCCTACTGTAACAGCAACAGCAACTTAAAAATCAAATTCCAGACAAATCAATTAAATAAGAACTACTTCTGGTTTTGAACAGACAAATCTGAAGCACCTTGGCTTAATTCCCAGAAGTGCAAGATGCTCAAAACCCTCCTAAAATCTAGGCTGCATTTGCCTAAAATAGAGCATGCAAACAAAAATAACTTGAACTACAGATTTTATCCATTTATATTTGAGTTTCAATATTTACAAAGCGGGCGTAAGCAGTAATGATTATTGTCTCCAGTAAATTTTGGCAATGCAGATTCAAATCGGCAAATTAATAAGTGAAGACCAGTGTTGTTGGTGTACAATACTTTGGTTTCTCCCATGGAATTATAATCCACCCAAGAAAAGATGCCAGTCATTTCTCTTCTATGTCCATGTGCAGACAAGGAAAAACATTTTAATAAGAATAAGACTTGATGCAACGTATGTTGCAGAATTATTTGAACAAACTCCTGTCTTACCAGATGGTCATAATCCTTAATTACCATATGGACCATTTCTTCCCCCTTTTTCTTCTACTTTTTAATAGCTCGGGAAAGTAGCAGCAATTTTTGATTTATCCTTTGTTTAATACAAAGACCCCCCCAAAAAAATTATACAAGAAATTGTTGCCATATTTTCTTTTATTACTTCAATTTATATGCTGTTCCTTTTCCAAAGAGTCCAGCAATTTACAATTAACAGCATACTATTAAAACACAGAAAATTGACGGCATAAGCATAAAAGCATGACGTGTCATCATTTGGAGGGCAACATTCCTAAATAGCTGTCTATAAAGCCACTTTCAGGAAGGGACAGTTCAAATTTCTAGAGGCAGGCTGTTCCAGAAGTGAGAGAGCATCACGGAGGGGGCACAAACATGGGACCTTTTTACATCTGGAACCTCTAAACAGGTGAGTTCTTTATTTTTTTATTTGTTTTTATTTTTTATGTAAATGTGTTTTTATTTTCCATTTTCATTTTCGTACAGTCACTTATATACTGTGCACAACCGGGGCCATGTAACATTAAACAATAAACACAGCCATTCCTCTTGTCAACAATACCCCCCAAAATAGAAACCCACTGTACCACTTCGACCCTCCAT